CGTATTTTGGACATAGGTACAAAACAGCTAACTACATTGCACACCATGAATCAATCTAGGCAAATGTATAGCTGAAAAAGTGATGACAAAGTTAACGCAACTTAGTTAGGATACTTTGACGCACCATGTTTATACACATTATCATTTTTGTCCCTAAAGTCACTTGTTTTTTTTAGGTTCTATGTGGCTAGACTGCTCAAGTTCTGCATCAGACAAATCATCACCGAAAATCTCCAATTCAGTTGTGTCCTACATACAACAATTACAATCAAAATATTGCATAAATTTTCTTACCCCTTCATTATCATAAACAATGTACATCATATGTCTGCTGGGCTTCAGATCATTATCTTTATAATAGTCTTCTAAGAACCATTTAGCTTTATCTACTTCAATTATCATTCCAGATGAATTAGCAAGTGTCATCTTCGTCAAACTAGCTGTTTCTCCAAATTATAACTCTTATGCACGCAGCAAAACATCCTCCAGTGATGATATTCTTAAGAGTTCAACCTTACGGGGATTAGGACCAGGAATGGAATGGCATCGCTGCCCTTAACCGAATACATACCTCCCAAAATTATCTAAACAGAAATAATGTTGAAATGAAGTTATTACAGGATATCCATACAGTCATTGTTCTAGGATCCGAGGGCTTCCTTGACTCCACTAATGATTGCCTTTGTTTGTATTATACATCCAGTTCTTTGATGCTTTCCATGACACAATCTTTATTAAGTGAAATTTTTAAAAATGCATTTAAATTGAAAGTACCTATACCAGGATGTGTTGACTTTTGTTTTGTGCTTGATGAGGAGCACGTTGACAAAGATGAAGTTTCCTGAAGTGAAAACTGACCCGTTTATATAATTAATAATAAAATAATAATTATTACCTCTTTCATTTGTTGCCATAAAGAAAAAAAAGACCATGCTGTCCAATTTTTAGACACTGGTTAAGGCTTTCAAAATGCATCTCAGAGAGGGACAAAAATATATCTTTATTATCAATTTGCTCATCAGCAAGGATTTCCAGAGTCATGTGTGTCAAGCCAGACCTAAAAGATAGCAAAACTTTGATTCATTTCTAAATAATAAAGAGACAAAATTAAAAAGATATTACCCCACATTCTTACTCTTACCAGAGTTCCAGCAAATAATAATACAAAGGCAGTGAAATCCTCGGTGAACTTGGGTGAAGACAGAGGTAAAGACAGAACATGAGGCTGAGGCAAGATAAAAACCACGCTTATCAATGGGCATGGCCTAGTCCGCCCATGACTCCACCCTCTTAAGGACAAGCCCATAATGCGTAAGTGTTATGAACGAGAACTTGAACGTTAACAGGAATGTCGTTTTTGGCTTTCATCGTCTAATCATCGTGTTTTTGTGATTTTAAGACTTCTTGATCATGCTAAGCAGTGGAGAAGAGAAGTGGGCGTGGTATTGAGGTAGTGATACTTGGCTCTCTTTCTTGCTTATTTTCTTCAATTGTGAAATAAGAAAAGCTCTAATTCATTGCTGGACATTGTATATTCACTTGCTCTATTGTTTCATTTTGTAATTTCTGTTTGTTATTGCTGCTTTATATTTCTGATAGAATTTCTAAGCGACATTACTGTATAATTACTAAATAGTGACTTGTGGAACAATGGTTTGGAACTGTACAGATCCTTTAAGTGTCCCTTTGTCTCATAGCAAGATGCATCTGTCATTGTTGTTGCTATTTTCATGTTCTAGCAACTGTATGTAGCTGCTATCACAACATTGCAAACTACTGCCCACATGGTTAATTTAGTAATTATTAACCCTGTCCACCAAAGTGTTAAATATAAATAGTTTTTGATTTTTTTGTTCCTCTTGTGAGTGTACTGTACAGTTACTGATTTTATATATAAACTTTCACTGAGAAGAATATTGCTAGCTTCATATAGCCCTACTTCTTGGGCTCAAAGTAATTTTTGTCCAATTTTCCAAAGCCTTCTGTATATGTTGACACAGCTGCTGACTTCATCCATTAAGTCCTGTTCATGACTTTTCTGCTTTAGTTATGTATCCAGTTACATACTCTGTTAAGATATGCCAGTTTGAAGGCCTTGTTAATTTTCAATGTGTAATAGTGCAGACAATATGAATGATTTTTATGAAATCACGAATTTTTGTTTACAAGTCTTGATTTAATGTATTCACTAAATGATAACGTCTGTACTGAATAGCTTTGTCTGGGATGATGCTCTCCATATTGCCTAATTGGAAAAAAGCGGGAAAGCATAAGTCAAGATGCTCTTGCCAATTGTCAATAAGCGCTTCTTTTACATCCATTAATTTATATTGACCACTATCAAAACCTGTTGCAATTTTACTATTTAGATTTCTAATCATATACGCCAAAAGGCCTCTTAAATCTTGATCATTTGCTTTTACAAGCATTTCACAAGCAGCATTGCTTACTACTTGTATAACACTTATAGATAATTTGTCAATTGAATCATCGTCTACATTTCTATAAAGCCAATTTATTTCATTTAATTTTTTTAGTGCTGCTTTTATTTTATTTACATCAAATAAACTACGCCAGACATTATTTGATTTAGTAGGCTGTCCATTAATAATAATATATAGTTCTTGATTAGGTAAATGATTTGAATCTATAGAAATCACATTTAAAGTTACCATGGTTATTTCTAATGGTAGGGGTAAATAAAACATTGCACTTCCAAGAGCCTGGAGAGAATTATATGTAAGCACTTCTAAGGTGTGTGTGCCTAGCCAAACAAAAGTCTGAAAACATTTGGCTCTCTGTATCAACTGGTAACTCAAAACAATTCAAATTTTTCCAATCTTTGGGTAGTGGCTCACACTTTAACCCATTTAGTACATAACGTGCTGGGACTTTATTTTTCCTAATAATAGGTTTACAATGATAACAAGTATACTTAACTTCATTTAATGCTGTACGATCAAAATCTCTAATGTAACCAAATAGGGTACTCCAAACATTGCTATTTAAATTTTTAGCTTCTCACAGCTTCTCACAGCTACAACAAGCATTAACAGCCTGATCAAACAAAGCTTTCTTAAATTTATTAATAGCATCTGAATTCTAATAATAAAGTACAGTATCTAAACTTAGTTTTCTTAAGGGTCATTCATCTTCATTATCATTAAGAGTGTAATACAAATTATAAAATTGAGTCTCATCAGCTTCACTGATTTTCAATTTCTTCAATTGTGCTATATCACCATCAGCAAGGGAGGAATCAATAATATCTATTGTTCAATGGGCATTTTTAGCAAGATTAAAGTGTTTCAAAAGGCGAACAGATGCATTACGTAAAATACGCAGCATACTTTTACACTCAGTATGATTACTACTACGCTCAATAGGATGACCTATCCTGTCAGAAACAATTTCAGAGTACTTTAAACTTTTTTCAACACCATTTTTATCTTTTTTAACAATTACAGTTAGAATTAGGTGATCAGAGAACTCAAGTTGATGCACTTGATCTACTTCATACAAAGATCTTGTCATATAATGTTTATTAGCGCAATAATCACACGCATCTAAATGCTTCTTCAATTCTCTAATGGGTTCCTGAAACTAACATCTAACTTCAATGATGGAACTAACGTCACTTTTGAATAATGGCTTACACCTGTCTGTACAGTGCCATTTGAGGGTAGGCTTTTCTCTTATTGGTATACACTCTATTATTTTCATCCAAATTGTCAACTTCAAAATCACTATCATCATTACATTCTTCTACTCTACAATATATGACACATCAACAATCCCCGCTACATAACAGATGCCACTTGTATCAAGACTGATTGCAATTGGAATACCGTAGGTCAGGATATATTCGCGATTTTGTCCCGCACTCAGCAATTACCATGGTTAAAAATGCAATTTTAATTTTTAAATCCACAATATTAATAGCAAAAGACTCTGTTGCAGTGTTCTTGGGCTGTTGTTCTTGCTGTTACTAATCCTTAATCTCTTTGGAGCTGTTTCAACCAGAGCTACTCCCTTCACTCTCCCCGCCATATCTTGGCCCATTTGTGGGACTCTCCTCCCATTTATTAACTTGGGCGTGGTTAATTATCACCAGCAAGTGGAGCAGCAAGGATTTGCAGCAAAGAGCTCAAAGGTAGTGGTCCATACAAGAAGATAGCGGATGGAGAATTGGATGGCTCCCACTAAATCTACTAAAGAATAGATAAGTAGCTGCTGAACACTGTAATTGTATAAATACGTGGTCTTATTGTCATAGCAACAATCGATTGGTTTCCATGGTATTTAATTGAACCTTTTTATTAGTTTTTATTATCGCAAAAATAAGCAGCCGCAAATATATTCTGACCTACGGTATCTAATTTGCTATCAGAATCATCATTAGGATACAAGTATGCAGATTGATAAAAGTATGGCACACCATTCTTTGTGTGACATTGCTCACCAAAATCACAGAGCTATACAACTTCAATTTCCTAATGCTATTTGATGCATGTATCAATATACCTACTTCGTGCAGAGGCGTCGCTGCCTATAGAACAGGTATGGCACCTGCCCTGCCAATCTTTGAGAGCTGCCATTTTATTAAAATTATCTAGTTATTTAATATTTATAATCATTATTATTAATAAAAATAATTATTAAAACTGTTATTATTGCAGGTGAAGAAGCATGTCTAAGCAGTCTAACTTGTTATCAATGGGATTTGTCAGGTTATCCTGCAATACTCCATCAGCTCCAGCTGTTCCAGACAGCAATGAAATTCCAGGCAGTGAACAAAGCAGCTCCAGTTTGTCACCAGCTAGAACTGATAATCCAGTTCAAGTGGCCATTCCATCAAAGCCCAATCAACCTTCTGATGACTACCGTTTCCTAAAAAGAAGTTTGGGGACAAGTTTTGCTCATTTAAACCTTATTGGACAAAGCAGTTTTCTTGGCTGCACTATAATGAGTCCAATGACAGCGTGTTCTGCTGGTACTGTATGAAAGCAGTGGAATCTGGACAGCTGAAATCATCAAAGCGTGAAGATTCCTTTACTACCCGAGGCTTCTCCAATTGGAAGAATGCGACCACTGCCTTTAAGAAGCATGAAGTAAGTGATTGCCATAAGGAAGCAGTTGATATCCACACTCTTCCTGAGCAATGTGAAGATATTGCACTCACTATGCAGAGGTCATTGAGTGAGGAAAGGCAAGTCAATCGTAGGATGTTGCATGTTATAATTAGGTCAATCAAGTATTCTGCTCGGCAAGGCTTGGCACTTAGGGGTCACAGCAGTGATGAGGGGAATTTTATTCAGCTATTAAAGCTTCAAAGTGAAACAGATCCTGCCTTGCAAACATGGCTGCCAAAAGAGTGTGAAAAGTACACGTCTGGAGAAATTCAGAATGAAATTTTACAAATCATGGGCAATTCCATCCTTCGTAAAATATCTAAACATGTGCACGATAATGCTTACTATGCGTTGATGGCAGATGAAGTAACAGATTCCTCAAACCGTGAGCAGTTTGTCATTTGCTTTTGCTGGGTAGATAGTGATTCTTTTAGTGTTAATGAGAACTTAATTGGCTTCTATCGAGTAGTGCTGGGCGATAGTATCGATAGTTATCACTATCTCAATAGTACAGTACTATCACTATCGCGATATTAAAATGGTTAACTATCGAATACCACGTGGCATATGTAATGCGCATGCGCACTGTGTAAACATGTGGTCAGACAGCTTGTTTAAGATTAATCACAACAACAGATGGCTTCTTGCTCTCTTCCAAAAACACATCTATTGGCACCTAGTGGCGCTACCAGCAAAGTTTGGGATTATTTTGGGTTTCCTGCAAAAGATGGTAAGTAATTGAGCCACATAATAAATGAAAGTTTTAGGTAAATTTAAATTTAGGTCAATTTATTCAACCAGATAAGAAACAAAGAAAACAAGTACATTGCAAGCTTTGCTCTAAAGTTTTAAAGTATTGTGGGAACACCAGCCACTTGGTTTTATCATGTTTTGGTTTACATTTAATGTTTGAAACTTTTATAGGTACAATGGGACTACTACAACTATCATTATCTTTGACATTACATTTGGTTTTTAGGTCTTTCAAATTAATTGAAACAATTAATTTATCATCTTTTTTTGAGCAAGGCAGTACCAAAGCAGTATTGTCAGTACTACTTTCTAAATCAACTTTTTTGGGGGGAACAAGGCTTATTTAAAGCATTAAGGTCACATATTTTACTGTTTTTGGGGTGATTAGACTT